GCAACAATATGATGGATCGACAAAATTCTTTTTCCTTGTCATGTGCAAGTCTTTGTTGCTCTGTCTCATGGAGACCAATAAAAAGCATTGAAGTATGCAGAGGTGGAGTAGAAAATTATAGGAAAGATTAGTCACGTACAGACTATGGTCTTACAGCTGCTGGGTGGTACCAGTAACAACGTGTTCACTCATCATGACGTTTTTACACTATAGAAAGTAAAACAGCTGAACACTCTGCCCTTCCGTCTGATGACTGTGAAGGTAGATGGAGCATTCATTCTTTCACGCAGCATCCTGTTGTTTCTGCTGGCCCATAACAACCTAAAGGCATTGTTCCCAGTGATCGACAGAGAACCGAGACTTCCTGATAGCTCTGCAGCATGAAATTCTTCTGAGCCCCCGTCACGTTTGTGCTTTACGTTACTTTGTCCAGAATGGAGGATTTCCTTTTAGGGAACAAGAGGAAAGAATATTGCAGAAGGAAAACATCTCTCACACACACAAACTGCACAAGAAAAAAAACAGATCCCTGTAGCTAGATACTCAGTCTCTTCTTTATCAAAAGAGCAAATGTCTAAGCAGGCATGCCAAAGTCGGTCATCGAGGGCCACGCTCCTGCAGGTTTTAGAGGTTTCCCTGCTTCAGCACAGCTGGATTTTCATCTATTGCTGAATAATAGGCTTTGGTTGAATTGCTATCATCAGAATCAGCTTTGCTGAAGCAGAGAAATCTCTAAAACCTGCAGGAGAGCGGCCCTCGAGGACCGACTTCAGGCATGCCTTACCTAAAGGGGCCTACAGTGTCCTTAATGTTGTCTTTTCTAATACAGAGGATCTGAATCAAATGACTAGTTAATTAGCAGGCATTTGCAGAGCTAGGCGCTATAACTCAGCCATTTGAATCAGCTGGTAGAGTGAGGACAATACCTACAGGAAAGTGCAGCCATTAGCTCTGTCCCATAAGTTCTAGGTAGTTAATGGAGACAGGTGTATCTTACCACTTTGAAATGTGTTTAGAGGGATGTATAATTTTAGTGCCTCAGATTTACAAATGAAAATAATGCAGTTTCTTCATATCAGGTGTTGTAAAACATTTTTGAGCGTAAGTTTCAGTATACTGACCCTGCAGTAGCACAAACAACTTTCATGTTTCACTTAAATTCAATTCAGTTAAATATGTTTTACTTCATGGACTACAAAAAACAACAAAAAGAGGTATTCCATGGATGAAGGATTAAATTATGGCATTCAAAAGGACTTTTTTTATTGCAAGGTTCTAATCCACTTACTGCATTGAAGCCTAAAAAGCTCATTTGATCCTTTTTTCTGTTCAGATATTTTTTTGTGAGTAATGCTTGTTCTGTAAATGTATCCAAGGGAGAATTGAAAGGTAATTGCAAATAAAATAATTCCCTATATGATCGGTTCTTATCTTTGTGGCTGTTGGTTAAATCTGGCTTTTTAATAATAAATTTCAGCGATGTTTTTGAGTAATACAAAAATCTAAATAAGTTGAAGTTTATCTTTCTTGGTCCGGATAGAAGTATATTTTCCTATAATAACTGTAATCTATAGTTGATATATAGAAAATGAACTAAAGATGCAAATATTCAAATATGTTTAAAAGTACTTTGATTATAGAAACATTTTCAGTATTTTTTTTTTTTTCTGTTTTTTTTCTAAGATCCAACGCCATGATCCACAGGAGCAGCCAAAAAACCCCACAAAAATAAAACTTGCTTCTTCAATTTGAGGAACATCACCGCCATCTGCTGGTGAGAATAATGTTTACGTTGCTTTTAAAATTATTGTGTCCAGCTTTCTATTGAAAGTAATCATAATCATTAGGATTTGATCATAGATTTTAAAATTATACAAAATTTGTTTTAATCATTAAAAAAACAACGTTTTCAAGACAATCAGTTGGTGTTTCTGAAATACTGATAAATGAAGAATCTCGTCTCTTTGGCGCCTTTTGGCCAAACTGGACGCCAAACCCCACCCCTTTCATATATCCGCCCATATGTCTAAATTCTGGCTGCTGATTGGTGGATTTAGCTGTCTGTCAGCATTGCACTCACCGGTCAATTTACCAGTCTTCACTCAGTCGCATACTTTTAGAAGCGCATACGCAGTTACAGTCAAAATAAAAGCATTTTAATAAATGGAAGATGAATGAAATAAATAAAAATCAAGTCAAACAAGATACGAGTGATGATACATAGAACCCAGTGCAGTACAATCGTGTTATAGGCACTTTAAAAGATTTTTCTTGATTAAATGATTAAAAAATATATATTTTATATTTATATTATATTTATTTTATATTTTATATATATATATATATATATCAAGACATTTTGATACTAAAGTGATGAAATCCCGGTAGAAACATTTAGTTTGTTTTTTTCTGGTAGACACTGTACTTTTTACATTAACAAGTGTATCTTAAATTAAAGTTTACCTCTTTATTTACAGGTACTTGAAGAATTTCACAGAATTTTTAAATTTGTGCAATGGTGAAAAACAATGATTTCATAAAAAAACAAGTTCCAAAATGTCCCTCACAAATCTTTAAATCACTTAAGAAACAATGTTTCTTATATTACTGCCAACTTCAGCCTAAGTGGAGAAACCTTGAATAATAAACTTACTTATAGAAACTAGGTCTGTTTAAACTTTTAAACTTTTATTTAGCAGTTTTGAACTGCTTACAGGTACCTAGGTAGAGTTTAAAAAGTATAAAATACCTTTTATGCTAAATACCTTTTAAAGAATTACAATGGTGAAGGTAATGGGTATTCTAAGAAAGGAGCACACAGTACCACAGCAAATGTTGCAGTGTTATAGTAACACTTTCAAGAGTTACACTTAAATGAGTTAAATTTAACACAATTTCCAAGTGTATTTGTCGCCACTCTGAATTAGTGCTAAAGTAACTCTTTTCATTGTGTTTAGAATTTTAGAGTTAAATTACCTCTTAAAAAAAAAAGATAACACTGGCCTACACTGAATAGTGTAATAAACATGTTACACCTGGGCGTGCAGGTGGAGCAGTGGTTACTGCGCACCAC